AAAAGGTAGCGAGCGTTTCGGATTGAACTCACCGTTTTGCTGTGATGTACGAGGGTTTTTGGGCATTTGAAGTCGTTTAGTGTGTCAAAACAGCATTTTAAGTTTTTGTGTTATTTATTTTCAGCATTTTTTATTTCCATTTTGTAGCCCAGCCCATTTTGGGACTGCTGGCCCAGTAGGTTATCTTTTCTTTCATATTTAAGACGCTGCAATACGCCTCCTAGGGTTTTCTTGGTTGTTCACGAAATAATAAAACTTTATTTCTGAATTCAATGCGTTTGGTTATTATTGTCGTGTGTTTGTAGATTCAATCTACATCACCAATGCACTATTTTTTCACATGCATTTACATTATTTAACCTTCTTTTTTTATTTCGTGGGGTCCATTTCCTTTTTCCAAAACCAACTTTTGACCGAAAAGAACAAAAAAATCTCTTATTTTTTTCACTACATGGGACAAAGAAGGAGGTAAGATCGTAATTTTATACTGCATTAATGACTACAACCTCCACTGACACGGCAACAATATCTGAATTACATGACTCAAAGGTTGTAGATCTCATTGAATTTCAAGAAAACGTGTTATAATGCTAAAATATATGTTCAGAAATCAAACAAAGATGGGGCGATCTTGATCCATAAAAAGGGTTGAAAAATGGATAAAATAATAAAATACTTTTGTGGGGGCCAAACACACGATTTGACAAGAGGTACTAAAAATAGACAAATTCTTATTAAAACAGGTTCACGGATTACAAAAGTAAATGAATTACATTATTGAAAATAACTATTCTCGTTGTTTAAAAAAATACAAGAAAAAAAATTTATTGAGATTTTTTCTTTTTGTACATAATATTAGTTCTTTTTACGATTTTATATTTTTGTTTTTACTTTATTTACTTCTAAATTATTTTTGACACTCTAGATATATTAATCTGTTTATTAAAATATAGTTTCAATAACAATATATATTTTAATATTTATACCGAAAGAAGTCTAGAAATAAAATTAAATAGCGAAATTTTAGGGTAATTGGCACAAAATATCCATATCGTTTGTATTCATTATGAAATCATCCCTATTGTTTTAAATTTGGCATTTACAACCCTATTTCTACCTTTTTTTGCGAAATTGGTCCTTTCCATCCATTTCATTTGTTCCTTCCGTTAAATATACACGTGGATTGCATTTAAATCAAATGAAAATGGTATAAAAGTCAAAGCACCATTTTTTAATTTAATGAGTGGACGTGAAGGTTGGAAGAGAGAGAGAATAGAAAAGAAAAAATTACCTGGATAAAGAATATATTAATTTCAAGAGACACAAAGCGTAAAAATAAAAATAGAAAAAAAATTTTACCTGAATTTTATTTTGTATACGAAGCTGTGTTTGTGCAAAGTATGTGAAAACAAACAACAAATTCTATATTATCTAAAGTCATTTTATGAAAATAAATAGTTGTGAAAATTCTATGTTTAATTCTTCTTTTTTATTCAATTTTTTTTTATATTATCTAAAGTCATTGAAGTGACGTATCTTCTTTTTTATTCAATTTTTTTATTCATTTTTTTTGTTATTAATACTTTATTCAAAATATTCTATATGCAAAATTGAAATATATCTGAATATTTACTTACAAATATTTATATTCAATTTTTTACTGTAAATATCTTTTACAATTATAATTTTTTTTTTACTTTTAAATAAACTAAAATAATTTTTTTCTTGTAAGTCACTCTTTACATTCGAAATAGTGTAATTTTCTTTATCACTATTTAATTTGAAAAATAAAATATATTTAAATATTTATACTTCAAAAATATAACATTTGATTTTTTTTACTTATAAGTAGCTTTTTACAAGTATAAGCCAAAAACAATTATCAAAATTTATACTATTTTAAAATTTTCATTTCAAAAAAAGAAGAATATGTAAATATTTATATTTAATTAAATAAATCGAATATATTCGAATATTTAACCTGTACATAGCCTTTACAAAAAAAATAATCATTTTTTCTTCAAAATAGTTTTATGTGAATTTTATATTTATAAGTACTTTTTACATTTTATAAACAAATTTAATTTTGTTATTAGTATTTTTTGTTTTTCATAATCTTGTTTGAAAAATGAAATTATTTTTTTAGTTATAAAAAACTTTTTATATTTTAAAAATAAAGAATCGCTTTCCCATAAAAAAGTTTTTTACAAAAATATTATTACTAATTTTATATAATCTAATTCAAAGTTGATAATGTGAAAAATGGAGAAAAAGTACACGTTCAACTATTTTCGAGTTGAACTTACAGCCAATTAATCAAACGTCATTTCAGTATATTGTCATCTCCACTACCCATTACTTTGAATTCAATGTACTGTCATCTCCGACCTGCATTTTCCTTGTCCATTAGTTTGAATCTGACACACAATCTTTCTTCTCTACTTTTTCACGCTATCAACTATCAAACATTTATTTCAGTAGAAAAAAATATGTATTTAAATCATTTCTCTTTTTACAAAGTAATTAATTCTCTATTTCTATCTAAAATATTAAAAGTTACGTGTAACTAAAAAAATTGCAACTAATAATCAGATTAATTTAATTTATAAAATGTACAAAAATAGCATATAGACCGATTTTTTTTTCCTTCATTTCCTTAAGATTAAAAAAAATTAAAATTCTCAAAGCAACATATAGGTCAAAAAAAATTTAGTGTGACGTCATTTTGATTTTTATGTTATTTTAACAGTTTATTTTCATTTCCTTTCATAATTTCAACATGAATATTAGGGATTTTGAAAATATCCAATAGTGGCTAAAAAAATTACATAACACTTGAATAAAATACATTCTTTACAGTGATTAAATGACTACATTCAATTACTCCATTACAATCAGACAAATTACATTAGTCCATTGCAATTACGAAGACAGACGTGAATGAAGGAAATATTCATTATTTAAAATATTAACGGCAATTTTTCGCTATATATAACCATCCTATCTGGTGAAATCGATTCTATCGAAAATTTTAGAACAAAGCATTCTATATATTTAAGCACGAAAACTCCACAGTTCGGCCTTTAAGAATTTTTTTTTTTTTTTTTTTTTGTAATTAGTACTTACGAATAAATATCTATTATATTAAACAAGAATTATTTTCGATGCTTACCCGTTGTTTGCACAGAGTAGATATGGTATAATCTATAGTTTCATTTCTTTATTTCTGTATTTGCATATATTCCGTCTCCCTGCAAAACCTTTGTCGAACAGTAACTAATTAATCACGTTAACTGTCGCGTTCGCATGTGCCTTTACTTGATCTGGTGTATACTCGTTGTGGCTGTAATCGTATATCTAGAATTTTCACTCCGGAATATTGACCAAAAAAAAGTACCAAGTATTTTCGGAAAATGAACATGGAATTAATAAGTACTTACACCCTACCCATGGACGCCTCTTTATAGGCATTTTGTCGTTCATATATTTGTTCAGAAGAGTTCCATCTGGTTCATCTTTATTATTTCCCGCCTGAAAATCCCTTTGCCAAATCAACATATTGGCAAACTCATTTTCTAGTTGAAAGTCCATGATTGCATATTCTTTAGACACACGGGTGCAAGCATTAATAATTAATCGTCTCAACAACTTCAACTCTAATTCAATTGTCTTGTGGAATAAATTGATAAAAATCAAATATGTGAAGTATGAAATAAAATTAATTTTTATGAATAAACAGTACTAACCGCAATATTTATATCTTTTGTTCTATCCAATAAAGTTTTCAACCAATCTCTTTCATAGACGTTCCCAATGTCATCTTCAAATATGCACTGCATAGCATAATTAAAATTAGAGTTGAATAAATCAAAATAAAATTATAATATTTAAACCAATAATAAAAAATCATCTTTCTAACCTTGATTCGTTTTCCGCTATCCAATTTCTAAGAGTCAAGTATTTTTGCATATAATATTCTTTCAAAGGATGTCTTCTAGACGACGAAGGTTGTATTTATTTTCCCTTCTTTTTCTTCTCTTGTTGTGATATTTCAGAACTTTCGACTTGTTGAGACGTTGATGCATCCTTCAGTCGATCATCGGGAATTGGACATGTACCAATAGGAATGTCTTCTTGCGTACAACTAATAATGGCTTCTATGTCTAATTTCCAAATAATTTCTGCAGCGTATTCTTATTTTGTTCATCGACATAATATCGCATAGAATCAAAATCGGTATCTACATAAGAGTGCAGGTCTGGTAATGGTCTTCTTGCCATTTTTGTTGTTGTTGGAATAATTGGTCCTCTTTCTCCAAATGTGTGTTAAAAAAACTTGATAATAAGTTATCCATGTAGGAACGCATAGTAGATTGCATATAATCCTCCTGCCATTTTTGGTGTTGTTCGAACAACTGTCTTTGATTGTCATAAACTTCTGTTCTCAAGTTGCCACATATATCAATCACCTCTTTTATTATGTCTTGCTTCTAGACACCAAGTAGTTCTATCATCCGGTCTTCAGTTACATAATTAGAGGTGCTAGATCCAAAATTAGGCCCCGCTACTGGTGAAGTTCTTGACGTATTAGGAATGGTCGTCTTTGGCACATATATGTTATCCCTTTTGCTCAAAAGTATCCTCTAGGATTTGTTGTACCACATTGTCTAATTCTCCACTGACAATGCCAACTAATACACGATGTTCATTATCAGCTGGCAGTGAAAGATTTATATACCAAGATGTCTCCAATTCTTCCTCCATAGGATGTAACGTTGAAATAACCTGAATCTGTAATTTTAATAAAATATCAAAATAATTTTTTCATTTTGTTTTTAAATAATTAAACACAAATGTAGTTATATATTCATTAAAAGAAATCGCACCTCTGGAGTAGCCAGAAAATACTTAATCATTTTTTCGGTCAGCAGTTTATAGGCATCCACTTATACATTCGTGGACTCTGTGCTGTTTTGTATCGATGCCGTCCAAATTTTTTTCCAATTTCTGAAAATGCCTCATAAATCCAATACTGTATCGCAATTACAAATTACAATTATTTTTCTCTTACAAATAAATTAAGTCAACAAAAGAAAAAAATATTAATAAAATACCTGAAATGCAAGTGGATACCCTCGTAATGCATACTTACAATCTATTTGTTCGTTCCGTTGCACTCTTTCTGCTCTTTG